CAATTGCATGTGTCAGCGGCTTTCGGAGGGAACCATCTCAGAAGCATCGAGCAGTCTCAGATTGACGCCTCCATTTGTTATTGCCACGAGCGTGTCGCTGGAGATTGCTGGCTTCCCAGAGCTAGTCAGTCAGTCCTCCTCCTCCTCCTCCTCCTCCACCGCCCCCTCCTCCACCGCCTCCTCCTCCTCCTCTTCCTCCTCCCCCACCCCCCGCTCGCGCCCCTGAAGCGCGCGCAGGGGCATCCTCGGAAGGCGCTCGCGTTCCCGAGTTTCGGACTTATTCCTGGAGAGCTTGGCGCGAGGATGTTCTGTCCGGGAGGGGCCGCAGTTTGGGGGCGCCGTGGGGGGGGGAGGGGGGGACGCTTCCCCGACCTGACGGGAAAGCGCGATGGGCTCATATGCGCGATCCGATGGGTAAGTTGTTCACGACGAACCCCATGCGTCAGAGAGGGCCGATGATGCGCGGCGGCTGCCACCGCGGATTTGCGCCGAATCATAAGCGGGGGGGCTCAGATGGCACAGGACATTCGCGGGCATCGCCTGTGGAGGGAGGGGCATTCGCGCGCCGCCGACGCGCACGATCTAGCAAATGTTTGTGGATTGAGCAAATAATGCCCGACGCAAGGGGGAGGAGGAAGAGGAGGAGGAGGAGGAGGGGGAGGAGGAGGAGGAGGAGGAGGAGGAGGGAGGAAGGGAGGGGGAGAGAGGAGGAGGAGGAGAGAGGAGGAGGAGGGGGAGGAGGAGGAGGAGGAGGAGGAGGAGGAGGAGGAGGAGGAGGCGTTTTGGGGCTTCGGCGAGCAGCGGCGTCGAGGGGCAGCCGCGCAGTCTCGGGGACCGAACGAGCAACTAAACGCCTCGACCGAGTTGCGAGGGACTTCGGGTAGATGGGTTTGCCGTTCGCCCAGTCGCTTGCACGCCCGATGCTGTTGTGGAGCGGCGGCAGGGTGACTGGCATGGCCGGGGGCCCGTGCTCTCGTCGTGTGCGTGCGCGCCGTCCCGTTTCTGGCGCGGTCCAGGGTCTGCCTCTTACGAAGTGCGCGGGTGATTGGGCGAAGAACTTGGTGGAGGAGGCGGAGGAGGAGGACAGGAGGAGGAGGGGGAAGAAGGGGAGGAGGAGAGGAGGAGGAGGAGGAGGAAGAGGAGCGACAGGAGGAGGAGGAGCGACAGGAGGAGCAGGAGGAACAGGAAGAGGAGCAGGAAGAGGAGCAGGAGGAGGAGGAGGAGGGCGGAGGAGAAGGAGGAGGAGGAGGAGCAGCAGCAGCAGGAAAAGGAGGAGAGGGAGGGGAGGAGGAGGAGGAGGAAAAGGGGCTTTGCGACATTCGCTGAGCTTATCGGTCATAGTCCCCGTTACATGGATGATCTAAGTCGATCTCATAACTGGGCGGGCGCGAGCAGGGCGCGCTGCTATTTCTGGCGGGGTGGGATTCGCCAGAAGCACTTCGACTCTCTCCTCCTGCTCCTCCTGCTCCTCCTCCTCCTCCTCCTCCTCCTCCTCCTCCTCCTCCTCGAAAGCAAGTTACTCGCACTCCTCCTCTTCGAAAGTGGGATGACTTTTCCTGGCCGCACTGCGCAGGCGATGCAATCCCCGCTCTCTCAAGTCAGTGCTCATCCTCATCGATTTGTTGTCGCACCTGAGGCAAGGTATAACGCGGCGCAGTCAGGTTATTACTTCGCTGGGCGTTGTTGGCATCTACTTGGACGGCCGCGTAGGCTGCGGCGCAGCTTGTTCTCGAGTGCAGTTTATACTGCAGGGTTTTCTGGCATGGAGGCGCGCGTGTATTCGACCGCAGGGCATCGGCGACTAACGAATCGGACCGCGTCTTTCTCTCGGCGCGCGATGCGCGGCGAAGCCTTCACCCGCATGTCGCGCGTCATCCTCGTTCTCCCCAGAATGCCGGAGTTCTGGCCCACCGGCGACGGGCTTCACTTGGCCTCGACGCGCGCGTCGGGCGACTGCGACTCTTGCAGGAGATCGCGCGGCGCCCCCAGTTTCACAGACGAGTCATTGCCAGGGGGCCACATGCGAACCCTACCCCTACCCCCCACGATTTCTGAGGGGGAAGGTGGGGTAGGTTTCGCACCTTCGGCCGACAACGTCCAGCTTCGTCCTATCAGCGCCCTCTTCGCGCGCTCGGTGGTCGCAGTTCCCAGACCCCCGACGTCGTGGTTTTTTCGCAACGTCGACCCCCAGAGGTCTGGACCCCTTCCCCGGGGCCGGTTCTTCGTCCTGAGTCGTTTTTTGACGCTCCCGAGGCCCGGCGAGGGCCCCCGGAGGCCGAAAATAGCGAAAAACTTCCCGTCGTGATTTTTTCACGACGCCAGGAGGTCTGGGTTTCGAGGCCCTGCGGCCTCCCTTTCGTGCTCCGCCTGGCCCCTGCCCCGCGCCTCGCCCACCCCGGCCTCGACGCAGGGGGCGCCGTGGTCCGGCGCCCTGCCTGGGCGTTGGAAGGGGGCGGGGGGGGGAAGGTGGGGGGGAGGGGGGGAGGAGGAGGAGGAGGAGGAGGAGGAGGAGGAGGAGGCGGAGGGAGGGGAGGAGGAGGAGGAGGAGGAG